AGAGACTACCCCAACTCACCAGCACCCAAATTGTATATGTGATGGCTCAGGGCATCGAGTACGGTTGAGCCAGAGACTTGAAGAAGCTTGGTGAACCATTGTTGGTTAAAGAACCCTCCAGGTGCAACCAATGATGGTTCATATTGGGAGTCTTTGTATAACTCTTTTATCATTTTCTTTAGTCGGATTAAGTCTTTCCCATATTGGTCTACATAAACATGAGCTCCCACACCATTTCCACTCAATTCGTTACCTAAAACAACAAAAAAAGGCTTCACTAGAGATGAGCACAATCAAATATATTCGATTCGGTAATGCTGAATATTTAACCGATGAACTCAAATCCATTGGAATTCGGTTATCAATACTAATTTTAAGTGCTAGATTTGTCGAAACTTGTGTACCAAATTCCCATGAATCTATCTGGTATCCCTTTGAAATGGAGTACTTGATAAAATCTTGTGTATTGGCAGAGTCCCAATCCCCTCCCCAAAGGGTCCTCTTTATTTGTGTCTCCCATGGAGTGCATTCAAGCCAAATGTCAACATTACACTGCAAATGTACGACTCGAGTATAATCATATTAGCAGCATTATAGCTTAATCCAACTTGCTTCGACTCTCGAAAAGAAGAGTCGAAGCAACATAGTTATCAGTTTTGCACTTAGTAGAACACTTCGTACAATATAAAAACAAGCAAAACTGAAAATGTCACAAATCGATAACAACTTCTGTACGATTCCGAAACTTATTTCGGCCTGAAGTACCCTATGCAAACAGAACTTATGTTCTTGAGAGGATTTCATAATATTTGAAATGCTAGTCTTACCTGGTAGCATTGAAGAAACGGTTCAGTTCATCCCATCTTTTCATCTGCAAACATCCCTTTGAAAATCCAAACAGCCCATGTTTCATCTTTTCGAATGGATCGCAAGGAAACTTCAAATTTCCAACATCATACAACACTTGATCTTGCAAAGACCCTCCGATTCGTATTCTCAAACGGTCGAAAGCTAAACAATGTCAAGAACATACAGAAGGGTCAGGTTTCAAACTCAACAATATATTTATAACATCTTTTTCTACAAGCACTTTCAGTCCAACATCGATGTCCAACACGTTTTTGAACATGAATACGAGGTGCATGGTCGAATAGTATAAACACAAACCTTGGACAGCTTTGGCAAGCAAAGGATGAGACAAGTTCTGTTACAAAAACAGAAACCCAGATTGAGCTGTTACTAAACTGCTTCAGTATGAGGGTATGATTCTCAAATATATGAAAAAACTCGCAAAATCGAGAATACTTGTGTCAAGCACACCCATATCCGAAACTCGCAATCAAGTCCAAGTATCATTGCTTAACAAAACAAATTCAAAGAAAACTAATATTATCAAGAATCCTCACCAAATTTATAACAGATGTATAGTGCCATGGACACTGGTTATAATCACACTTATCAGGAGGCCACCAATCGAGTGTAGCACAGACGAAGTTATCGTCGGTTCGAGCAATAATTGTTTTCCCATCAACAACAATTGTTCCATAACTAATATCTTCAGCCAAAATTGCAGTGATTGAAGTCACAGATAAGACCAGAATCAGGCCAAATTCCATTGCATTAACTGTGAACAACAATACTAAATTCTATCAGAAACCAAACCTCTCTTGTGGCAGTTGACATTACACGAGTGAAACTATATGTAATATGTGTTTTTGAAAAAAAAAAGAATGAAGTTTGAATGTCGCTAAATTGAAATAAATCTGACCTTAAGATCTTGCTCAACTGTTTGCAGCTTCGTTATCCGAAATCGGATGATTGCAAGACGAGATCTGTGTTCGACACGATTGTTCTCAACTTTTTTAAAGATTAAATCAAAAGCCAAGTGGGATTCAGACTCAAAATGGAGAACACACACCATCTAAGAACTGCCACTGACAATGAGCAAATTCAGCTTTTTCTAAGTGAATTTCAGAAGAAGATACCTCCTTTCAGAAGAAGATATGAATCATGGAAATTGCATGTTAATAGCTTCACTCAGACACTAACAATGTTTGAACAGGAATTGAGCTTGTTATACGTACGGAAACCTCTCCATTTAGTAGAGCTTCCGACTAGGTTACATAAACTTCTGATCAATTATAGCATTTTGACAAAATCTCTTATAGACAAGCTTCTGACATACATGTGACGTGTCGGAACAAAATCTAAAGTCTGATTACCAGACTTACCTAGACTGTTGGCATACAAATAACCATGATGACCGTACAACTAACACACCAAATGCCTCTATAAATACCCCAATTAAGACTGAAAAAGTGGATCGACCCTCCCTAACCAGTCGACCCTCTTTAAGACTGAAAAAGTGGCAATCTCAATTCTTCGTCCAAATCACAAGGAATCAACTGTTCACAGCCGAGGAACCAAACTTGTTCCCATAAACATAGATAAATATATGTACGTGGGTATATCATATAGATTATTAGTACAATTACAATAAGCCAATCAAAGTTTCAAAATTTGACAAAATTAATAGCAACCCGTTGAAGAATAAAACAAACCTGAAATTGCAACAAAAAAAAAAGAATTATGTAAACTCCACTCTAACAGGGAAATGCAAGGAAAAAGCTAGAAACCAGCCATTTGGAAAAAGCCAAAACAGGGAAATGCAAGGAAGCTTCTTTAGAAACAAGCAGGCTATCAAATCATTGTCTTAGGTTCCTTGTCACTTTCCCATGACAAGGAAAAAGATGTTTGCTGAAATGCCCGAGAGACTCGTAAACTGTGGGGTTTGGCTAAAAACTCTCCTTCAAGATTCATCGTTCGTGTACAAAATCTTCATATTCACCATAAATGTGAAGTAAGCTTTTAGTTTTGGCTAGAAAGCTTAGCAGCACCGCAAAGACAACGACTTAACAGCTCTCGACAAGGAGCAAGCCTGGGGGACCATGCAACAACAGTGAAGTGTCTGTTTTCCGATGAAAAAAATACAAATTAAAAGAGCACATCTTGTTTGCTTCACTTTCTTATGATTTCCAAGTTTTTTTTCCCCGAGGTTATCGTTGGCTTTAAGTTAAAGGCATAATACTAAATTGTGGCTGCGGATGCGATTGTGACTGTGCCATTTTAAGACGAAATCAAGATTTAATTATGAGGGGTTAAACTATTTAATTTTAAAATAAATAGAATTTTAAAAAATAATTAAATCATACAAAATAAGAGATTAAGAATTTAATTTCACTAATTTTAAAATTCAAAAGCCCTAATAAGTAATTAAACTAGACAAATTTAGGATCAAGTCTTAATTCTATTAATTTTAAAACTAACAGTGTCCTAAAAACAATTATGCAAAAAAATTTTGGGAGGAGTAAGGACTCAACTGCAATGGTTTCAAAACTACCAGTGACTTAAAAAGTAATTAGACCATCAAAGTTTGAGAGAATTACTCGACCCTCCTATAACATAACTGTCCTTGATGGATTGCTAATGTTGTGGACATTATGACATAATTTATTTATTAAAAGTAATTATGTTTTTATGTTGTAGATACAATTTATGATGTCACAATATTTTTGAAAAATGTTATAATACGATCATTGTATTATGTTATGACTGTAATTTAATACTATAATTAAAATAATGGAGCTTACAAAAGTTGCAGTTAATTATGTCAATGATTATAAAAAATATTTTTATATGATTTTTATACGATCTCAAGTAACTAATTTTTTGTGTTAATAGTTATAAAAAATATCTTAATTATATGTTTAATATATAATTATAATTATAAACTTTTATTATATTTATGGATATTTCCTCTATTTAATATAATTAGCTGCTTCTATTTTTTTAAAAAAAAAATTGCAGTTGATAGCCGACTTTTAATCCGTTTTTCTAATTCAAGCCTAAGAGAATTAGGCAAACCACAAGAGAAAACCTTGTTATTTAGATTTCAGGGTAAATTATTCTAAATGTCACTAAACTTTAGGTTTTATATTGATTTTAACACTGCACTTTAAAACGTTCAATTTTAGTACTAAATTTTAGTTTTGATTGCAATGTGAGCACTTGATTGTTAAATCCTTAATGATGATGTGATGACACGACTATTTTCTTTTTTGTAAACTATAGGTTGTATATTGATGTTATTATTAAACTTTAAAATACTTTAATTTTAGGCATTGAATTTTAATTTGTATATCATTTCGGTCAATGTAGACAATTAATTTTCAAGTCCTTCTATCATTATAGGTCAATTGTTACATGTCGCCTCAAATCTGAGAACACTCACAAACCTCAAAAATGATTTTTTTGTGTATAATTCCATGAGTTTCAAAGAAATATTTTTTTTAAAAAATTCTAAAAGTGATAAAGACAACAAATGAGTTCATCGGTGTTTAGAATGGCCACAAAAGACTATCGGATGCTATATTTTTTCGATTGTGATTAAAAATGGGTGAAAATCCTAACTTTGATGAAGAAGATGATGGGGTGAAATAGAAAAAAAAACATTTTGACCACTTAACTAAAATTTTTGTTAATTAAGTTACTAAACTATTAAAATAGTTTCAATCAAGTCAATAACCGTAAATTGTTAATGAAAATGTTGACAAGGTTGTTAATTAAATTTCTATACTAGACATTTAGTCTTCAATACTTATATAATTATATATTCTATCAATTTAGTTAAAATTAGGATCAAATTAATAGAACATGTAAATAATGAGAACAAAATATATAATTATAAAACTTTACTTAACTTCCAATCCAACATTTTTGTTAGCATTTAATTGTTAGTTGCTTGATTGAAATTATTTTAATAGGCTAGTGACTTAATTGACAATTTTTTAATTCAGTGGTCTGAATAGAACGTACCCCATAGTTAAGTTACTATTCTAGTAATTTACCCAAATACTAATTATAAATTACAATAGAGGATTTTTCTTCTGAAACAGGTGAAAATTGTGAAACAATTTAAATAATTATTACATTACACCAACTCATTAAAGAAGTTATAGCAAACTGGTCTTTTAAGTTTTAACAAACAGTTGCGGTGAGGGCATTGCACATACATACGTGATACATACATACATGATACATGCATACATATTACTCTTCATCTGGAGATGGAGCAATGGCAGATTCTGGTGCGGGTGCAGGAGCATTTGAATGACCACCAAGGAACCCGACCTTTTTGATAAGTTCATTAGCGATGAGCTGATTAGCACTATCTGACGGATGATACTCGTCCCAAAACACGTACTTGCTTCGATCCGAGCACAACGTCGATGCCGGTATGCATGTGAGAGCCGGTCGAATCCTTCCCAACGAACAACACGGAGAATCGGCGTTACTAAACCCTGCAAAACATCGAAGTCCGGAACTCGATCACGACGAATGCTCTATAGGAGGCTTATCAAATATGCATGTTTACCTTTGTCATGAAAGTTAAAGTTAGTTTTTATTCGAACATGGACTCACCGTATTTTTCCGGATTCCGAATAACGTCGTCCACGACGTCGTAAGCATCACCGAACTTGAAGTTAGCATCGGGAAGTCTACTTTGCATGTTGCTTAATAATTGGGTTGCAGCTTTGTTGAAACTGAGAGCCAACTTGTTTGCTCTGTCCTGACATTGTCCTGATGTACTTAACACCCTCTGGAGTGGTATGCAGCCCATCGGTCCAAGTCCGAACACCATTAACTTCCGCGCTCCTAAGCTATGCAACACCTTGGAGAAAAGAAAACACCAAAATGCCGATATTCAATTAGAGTTATAATCGAAAACGAACGGAAGAAAAACAATGTTCGATGTGTAATCAATCTACCATGAGTTGTTTCTGAAGTGTTTCCATCAAGTATTGAACAAAGTTTGATCATTGTATTTCCAGGAATCACTATAAACCGGCATCAAGTAATTGTTAATGAAGTCATTGCTCCCTAAAGCGACGACGTAGTTTGCGTCGTGGAAGAACTTATCGGCCGCTTGGTCGCCGAGTTTGTCCGTAATCAATTCCTTGGTTCCCCGGAACAACTCGATCTGCTTCCAAAGAGAAAGCCTCTGTATCTGCAACAAGATTATATATATATATATGTCTGATTTAAGAACCAGCACGACATCAATTTTTCGGGGGTTTTTCGTAGGAACAAAAGAAAGAACAACTTACAAAGTAACCTCCTGTTTCATTCAAAATCCCGCCACCTCCAGAGGCATAATTCAAACCATTTTCCAATATCACATCCTCAGTCAGTGATGGATCCAAGAATGCTGGTGGCCTTGGCAGACCAGTTTTGTCACCTGTTACATGTAAGTGATCAAAACCGTGACCGAAAATTTGACAGTAACCATAACACATATTTGTCAATCAATTTACCTATTATATCCGCGACGGTTAGGCCATTGGTGAATCTTCCATTAGGCAAACCATTTCCGAAATCGATACCGTAATAAGGCAAGTTAGCCGTGGCCAGGCTCCGGGAAAGGTACTTGTTGTTACCGACGTCAGACAAGGAATCCCCAAAAATGAACTGAACAGCCTTGCAAGGAACGCTTCCGGTGGCGATTCCAACAAGGATCAAGCACAGTAAAGTTAATGTCACATTGAGATTCATGTTTTTTCCCCTGGATGTTTAAAAGATGTTGTTATGTTTGGAAATTTTATGCAATAAAGTCTGGGTTTTAAACATATCTGAATTTCCCTGCTTAATGGAACATGTCTGATAAACTAACTTTGTTTGGTGATTTTCAGACCTAACCGAGCTACTCTTTCTTTCTTGTTGCAACGATGTACCTGAATATGTGTTCTTTTTCGTCTTATTATTAGTATTATTATCAAAACCTGACCCCATGGGAGACCAGTCTATCTAAGTCAAATAAAAAAAATTATACTTAGTCGAGTAGATGAATCATATTTTATAACTCAAATTTTATTTGAAAATTTTTCGAATCGGATTGGAAAATTTGATTTATTTTTCGAGTAGAGTCGGGTAATATTAGGGATGGGCATGGGTCGGGTTTCAAGTCAACCGGACTTGAAAACTATAAATCCTCCGACCGACCAGACCGTATCCAAAAAATATACACCCTCCACCTACTCGACTTTTTGAGATAAAATCCAAACCCTACCCAACCCAAAATAATATATTTATTAAAAAAAATATTATTTTTATTCAATAAAAAATAGAGATTTAATTGAAAAAATATATATAGAAGGGGTATTATTGCGATTATCCCTATACATAAGGTAAAATCATTTTTTCGGGTTGGGTTAGATCAAGTATTTTTCACCATAAACCCAAAACCGACTTACCCAAACATAACCTCTAAAAAACCCTAAATCCAAAATCTATTTAAAAAAATCTGATTCGATCCCAAGCTCATCCCTAGGCTGTAGCTTGATTAAACATTTTGCCTTTAGGGTTTAATTATGCTTTCAGTCCTAGTACTATTTGGATTATTGAAATTTAGTCCATATGCTTTAAATTCAGGTACTTTGTTTTTCTAACTGTCTAATTTAAAATTTAAACTCACTAAATCATAAGTAGAGTGATAAAAGACTTGATATCAAATATTCAGTTGATATTAATATCGGATTAGATCCTTGAACAACTCTTTTCCCTTTTACATGTCAGAATTAAAATTAAAATCATATTTAAATTTCTGATATTTTAACGTATTGTTATTATATGGACATAAAATTTTATGTCGGAAGTTATATTAGAAGTGTAGAAGGTACAAAATTACAAAATTTTAGAGAGTGCAAAAATAAATCATCGATAAAACATAGATGAATTATATGAAAAATTGAAATTTCCGGGTGCGACCATCCCCAACACTCCTCATCGGTTTATCAACTGAAATTTAATTTTTAAGTCAGAAAAGTAAAGGAACTAAAGTCTTCAAATCAAAAGCAAAGAGACTGAATTCAAAAAATCTAAAGAGTAGAGGAAGTAGAGGCAAAAATATTAGACCTATTCCCCAATGAAATTTCGTTTATGGATGGGCACGGGGTGGGTCGGGCAAGGTTTTTGGCTGCCCCGACCCTAACCCGAAAATATACACTTTATACTCGATCTTGTCTTATCCCGATAAATTTTAACTTTTCTCCTTTCCCATCTCGACCCCACCTTCAACCCGACCCGATTCTAATATATTAATATTTTAAAATAATTAAAATAATATATATTTTATAATAATATATTTATAATTATTTATTATATTTTAAATGATTAGAATAATATTTTTTTTATAATTTTATATTTTTAATAATTAAAAAATATATTTTAACATTATAGAAATAAAAATTCCTAAGATATTAAATATTATATATATATATATATAAGAATAAATTACCGGTTTAGGTCGGATCAATTTTTCCACTTTAAATTGAGCCCCGTCCCGCTCCGGACCCCAAAATTTAAAAAAGACCGCTCTTATAAGATAGGATCAAGTCGGAACTTGTCAAATTCGAGTATTTTTACCATCCTAATTTCATTGTATATAAATTTAATTGTCAACAGTGTGATGGTTGGATAATTAGTAGGTGAGCTGTTTTTCCTTTGTATTTATGTTATTAGAAGGGGTTCAGCCGTTAAGGTGAGTATACCTAATATGAATTCTAAAAGTGGAGCCTTGTATTTCAAATGTTGGGCAAACAACATTTTTAAATCTTTTTAAATCCGAATTCGACTCATAGAAATTAATTATTCATTTTATTATTTAAAAATGATAAAAATTTAATTTAGTATTTATATATTTTAGTTTAGAGAATCATATCATCAATCTTATGCTTAAATAAGTGTTCATAGATACGAGTTTAAAAATACACATAAATAGAACAAAATTGTTAACGATCTATAAAGCAAATAGTTAAATGCTCTCAATTGATATCTCAATTTCCTCGAAGTTGTGGGTTTAATATTTATTAGGAACAAGATTCTCTTTTCTCCTTCTCATAGAAATTATTCAAAAAAAAAAAAGATAGAACAAAATTTATATGATTAAATTATTTATAACTTAAAAATAATATATTCACTAATTAATTTTTTAAGGATTATTAATATTGACTAAAAAAAGGTAAAATACACCATAGATCATTTGATTACGTGTTTAGTAATAAATAAATCATTTTCTCTTTCTCTAAAAGGTATAAATAAGTTATTGATAGTTAAATATTAGATAGGATAATGGCACGCCCTAGTATAATAATTGTTTTAATTCTCAAAAATTATATAATCTATCCATTTCTTAATTTAATAAATTTATTTTTTTATATTTAAAAAATTTATCATTTTAATATTTATTCTCTTAAATTGATTGTTTTCCTGTAAATATTATAATACTTTCTTATTAGTTTCCCAATTTAATAGTAACTTATTGTTGTTTCGTAAAAGAATATAATTATTGTTTTGATATGATGAACATGCTTGGTTAGATAGTATCATAAAAAAAATTAAATTGATGGAATTTTTAAATATGAAGGGTTAAATTTATTAAATTATTTTGAATTATGATAAAATTAATAGAATTTATAAATTTTGGGGACTAAAAATATTATGATATCATACCACATTAGATGTCCGTTTCAATTTCGACGATGTAAAAAAAAGTTTACAGTGATAATATTTTAATTGTTTGATATGTTTATAGTTTGGTTTAATATAAAAATAAGTGTCTAAATTATATTGTTTTTTCTATTTAACTGTCTAAACTATTTTTTGATTAATTTAAGTGTCAGACATTATAGACGTTATCATTTTAAGTGTTCTGTAATAATTGTAATTTTTTTAAAAAAAAAAATACACTTAAACTCCCTCTCCCTATATGCTCCTTCCCTTTACCTAATAAAGTTGGGATTCAAATCCCCTGTGCTTGGTGTGATGAGTTTAGGCAGGGGTAAAAGTAGTGACAAAAGCTGAGATTCATAAACGACATCGACGATATTGGGATTTTGATTTGCCGACAACGTTAGGGTTTGATCGGTTAGTGATATTGGTGACGGCCATCGGTTGGTGGCGGGAAATGACTTATGGATTTTAGGATTTTCTTGGTATTTTAGAAAATTTTGGAGTTTTAAAAATAAATTATAATATTAATTTTTAAAAAAAAATAAAATTTGATAAATTACCATAACACATATCACTTATAAAAAAAATTTAACATCGTTACGTTCCTAATACTTTAAATACTTACATTTGTAACGTTATAGTTTAGTTACCTAAATAAAAAAAAAATTAAATTGTCTCATTTACTTTTAGTATGATCAGATTTGATTATAGATTTAAAAATTAAGTACGATTAATCACTTACATTATCGATCAATTTTATTTTAATTCTTTGATCATTAACTCTCGGTAACCTATTAACGTAACTAATTTTTAGGGAAAAAACCCCTAAAAAAACCGCGTTTAAAAGCGACGGGTCTTTCTTCTTCTTTCTCCATTAAAGCTTCCTTTTCTCTTGCTATTAGCTATTGCCTGCCATGTTCATCTACTGTACCCAATATTAAGCCCCCAAGCGTACTACCAATCTACGTGGCAGCCTACACCATTGTCCCATCTTTCCAGCCTACTCGACAGACTAGAAACAGAACTAGCTAAGAACCCACCACTACAAAGTACAAAGTAACCCCCCCACTTGTTTTCTTTCTTCTTCTCACCCTTTTTCTCGAGAAAAAAAGTTGGACACCATGGTTGAGACCACTGCTTCAGACAAGTTTTTCGTTCAATGCAAACTCCATGCTGATGCACATAAGAGTGAATACAATATGTATTGCTTGGATTGCATGCATGGGCTCTCTGTTCTCTTTGCCTTGCTTATCACAAGCTAAATAAAAGAATTGAAATTGTAACAGCATCTCTTAACAACAATTGTAATTTCTATAAATTAGTACGTCGTGGAGAAGGAAGTGCAACAATAATAATCTAAAGGAAAAGAAAGTGGAAAAACAAATCTAGAAATCCAATGGCCTTATCTTCAGCTCAGAGTTCGGTGGTAAAATTTAAGAGTGATTATCAGTCAATCAAGCATGTCTTCATTGACAGGGAAGTTCCTTCATGGAGTCGATTGAAAAATCTGGAAAATCTCTACGGATAGTGTGCTCTATTTCCAATGAGATTGAACAGGATTTTCAGAAATACGTAAGGAAACGACATGCTCTCGAGGACTTGATGAAGGATGGTGAAGAAGATTCCGATGGAAGAGATGATCACTTGCATGATATGTCTATAAGAAATATGGAACCCGGGATGCGGCACGTGAAAGAGGTAAGAAGCTACATGCTCCCATGATTGGTATTTCAATATCCTCACATAAAAATATTCAGAATTTGATTTATTGAACGCAAATGCAGTTCCAAATAAGAGATTCAGTTACATTGAAGCCAATGGAACCAGGCCATATGCGATTAAAAGTCTAAAACAACTGACGACCGAGGAGTGGAAGCCGAGAGTGGAAACACCATTCATCTTTCTGATCCATCTTTAAATACCATGAGTAGCCTTGCGTTTATGCAAGGTTCAGGATGTCAACAGCCTCATAAAACCGAGGGCTTAGAAGGATCGAGGATAGGATGTCAAGAAGCCATTGTCAAAGAAATCGCTCATGGCGATTGCGATCCCTTTGCAAGGAGTCCTCTTTCAGAACCGATACGATGTTCGGATAGCGTTTCTCTGCGACTGCGATCAAGTAGAAGCACTACCAGCTTTCATTTGTTTGCTTTCCACATGAATAAATCGTTGTGGCTTTGTTTACCACCAAACTCTGCGTCTTCAGCTGCTTTAGCTGTCACGGTAAAGTTGGTGTCAGTCCCCGCCAACATCTTCAGAAACCCTTGGAAGACAGCAAACAGATGTGCAGACAGCAAATCAGGAAGAAGAAGAAGAAGAAAAGACGACACGTGGGTTTTTTGGGATTCTATTTTAATTGCCAACAAACAGATAAGGAACCAATCGCATTTAATTTTTAAATTCATTTATTATGAAATACATAGTCGAGTGACATTTTACTAAAAAAATATATAAATAAGGAAAGCTGATAGAAGGCTCCTAATGATAGAATACATGAAAAACGATATCATTAGAATTATAATACAAATATTTTGAACCGGTCACATAATTTGACCTTAATATTTTATTGCAAAATGCAAACAAAGATTAAGAAAAGACATTCGTAGTAAATACAAGGAAGAGTTTCAGCACTTTGGGGAGAATTTCTTGATTCTGCAAATATATAAATTGCAATGAATAGCTCAACAACAGCTTAGCATTCTCCCTCTGCTACTGCTTAATGAGATGGAAATGAAAGATGAGTTGTTAAAGCAAGTTTATCCATATATGTCCCCACATGATCGAGCATTTTTTTTTATTTTAAAAAGTGTACTTTATATTAGAGGAGATAACAAACTCCAAGAATTTCATTAAAAAACCTCTCTAAACCTAATATGAAAGAAAAAAAGTGTATCTCGAAGTGACAGAGAGTAATGAACAATTACATTACAACGAAAAAGAAATGCCCCAACCCATACATCAATGTAATCCCATCACATCTATATTCAGAACTTAGTTTGGAAGCATCCACCAAAACTTTGGAATACTAATTCCGGTGAAGAGAGGTTGGGGATGACGCAGCCCACCTGATTCCACATATCAACCAAAACAGAACGCTAAAGAATTTCAAGCAGAATATAATACATTGAACCTTTAACAACAGCTAGGAATCGTTTTCAACAGCAGCCAATAACTATAGAATCAGGACTTCAAACAAAATCATGAACGTTAGGAACCAACGACGACCGTAATGAATTAGCCCAAACCCCTATCTGAACCATGGATAAATGGAACATCTGATCAATCGAAAGAGAACAACCATTGAACCTACATTTATTCCTGCACAACCATATTTCCCAAATCAAACCGAGTTGCCATAGCGCTCGAAATTTCTTTCTTATTCTCTGTGAACACCATACCTGCAGAAAATATTGAACATTCATGGGAACAACAATATAAACATTCCACACAGAACACCAACACTGCCATACTTTCCAAACATCACAATGACAAAGAACATGTTCAATAGTTTCAGGTGCACTATTGCAGAAAATACATAGAACATTCTCAATGCAACGAACGCCTCGCTTAACCAATTCAGTGGTAACCGGCACTCTTCGATGCACAGCTTTCCAAACGAAACCAGCAACTTTTGGAGTGGCTAATTTAGACCACACCCTAATCCAAATAGAATCTTTTAACTTGCCAGCAGAATCCAGCTTGGAACAAAAGGATTTAGGGGAATAATTACCATCAGGCGAACCGGCCCAATTCAATCTATCCAGACCAGGAACTGAACTAACAGCTCTGTTAAGAACAGAAGTAAATTCATTCCACAGAACATGTTCAATAGTTTCAGGTGCACTATTGCAGAAAATACATAGAACATTCTCAATGCAACAAACGCCTCGCTTAACCAATTCAGTGGTAACCGACACCCTCCGATGCACAGCTTTCCAAACGAAACCAACAACTTTTGGAGGGGCTAATTTAGACCACACCATTTTCCAAATAGAATCTTTTAACTTGCCAGCAGAATCCCAGCTTGGAACAAAAGGATTTAGGGGAATAATTACCATCAGACGAACCGGCCCAATTCAATCTATCCGGACCAGGAACATGATCGAGCTGCTGTGTTTGAAGCAATTCAGGGTTCTATATTTTGGAAATGCGAACAAAGCATTTTGGATTTTAGATGATGCATTTGTGGCTCCCAATCAAGAAACACATCACCAAAACTTTCTGAATACGATCATAACGATAGAGGTGTCTCAAAACCAAGCTCAGACCGAGTCGAGTTTTTTATTACCAACCGAGATCAAGTCGAATTCTCGATTGGAATTCAGTTGAATTCTCAATATCTACCAATAGTTCAGTCGAATTCTCAATTTCAACCCAGTCAGTCGAGTTCTCAATATCTACCCATATTTCAGTCGAATTCTCAATTTCGACCCAGTCGGTCGAGTTCTCAATTTCGACCAGGAATTCAGCCGGGTTCTCAATTTCAATCAGGAATTCAGCCGGGTTCTCAATTTCAACCAGAAATTCAGCCGGGTTCTCAATTTCAACAAGGAATTAAGCCGGGTTCTCAATTTCAACCAGGAATTCAGTTGGGTTCTCAATTTTTTTTTGAAAAGTAACGTGCCTCGTTAAAAAACCCCTCTAAGTCCTAAGGGGGAAAAGAGTACCCAAATTAGATTAAGAAGGAGAGTTTACAATTACATAGAAGCATGGCTACAACATGAGATAGCAACCCCTGCAACAAATGCTGCCAACCGTCTGTTAGACAAAAACAAGCAGTAACCTGCCTTGTGTGAAAGAGAAACTAAGACATCCCTTGGAAAGGGACTCCAGGCTTAAGACACTAGAATAGATATTGCATCAAGCCAAAACCATAATAATCGCATACCAAGGAAGCAAAACTAAAGAATCAGCCAGAGAAGCACTCAAACAACCTTGCACCAGAAAACTCACATTTTCAGAGACCGAACCAGATCGGGATAATGAAGGAGATCCATACCAGATGCCAACGCTTGAGGCCATTTATTTTTGACACAGAAGCCGATTCGAAGTAATGCAAGGTTGAATATCCGATCCGGGGAGAGTTTCTTGTTTTTAAACACGACTTCGTTTCTGCACAACCATATAGTCCATATAAGCTAACTTCCAGGTTAGTTGAAGGTTGAGCTTGACTGGGCAAGAGACCCAGGTGTGTAAGGCTGATCTAAAGTCCCCAGGGAAAGTGAATGAAATACACCATAAACTCAGCTATTTCATCCAGACAGACCAGGCCAATTCGTAGTGAAAGAATAAGTGAGCAATAGACTCAGCCTCTTTGCAACAGAGTACGCAATTAGGACTATCGTTTGGGGCAACTCCACGCTTCAAAAGTTCAACTAACATGGGAACTCTACCATGCACAGCTTTCCAGATAAAGGATTCGACTTTAGGCGGGGCTAATTTTGCCCACACAAGATTCCACACCTGTTCTTCAGCAGAATCGGCCGAAGAGACGATCTCGCAGAACCGCTTCGGATAATATTGGCCATCCGGTGAACCGGTCCAAATGACATAATCGGTGGACGACAAGGAAGCAGCTGCTCTATTCAAAACAGCGATGAAATTATCCCAGATTTCCTTCTCCCATACAAACGAAGTTCTGCGAGTTCAATCGACCAATGCCATATGCCGTTTATATTCTCGCCAAAATCCTTCACATAGCCAGATTTGTTCAGAGCCAGCAAATACATTCTTGGAAAGGATTCCTTTAGGGATGCAACCTCAGTCCAGAAGTCGTGCCAGAAACAGATGGATTTACCATCGCCAAGGATAAGTATAATTCGGTCGAAAAAGAATGCGTCCGGCTTAGAGATAGGATAGATGATGTTTCTCCACACCCATCAGCATTTTCTTATAGGGATCGGAGAGGGGACAAAGGCAATGGTTTTGTAATCGTATTTTTCTCCCACAACCGTTCTCTATAAACGACCAGGTTCCTTGCCAAATCGCCACGCCCATTTGTTCAAAAGAGAGCCGTTTTTTTACCTTAAGGGTGCGTTTGGTTCACGGAATATAAGATTACCAGTGGGAATAAAAGATTACCAGGGAATAGGATTACTGGAAATGTTACATTGCTGTGTTTGGTTGGTTTGGCAGGAATGTAAGATTATAGTGTTTGGTTGAAGGAATAAAAGATTATTGGAATGTATATTTTACCAAATTATCCTTGTTCTATATTTTTTTAACAAGTAAAATTCTAAATATTTAAATAACAATTATTTATATAAAAATTATATATGTTGATAATATATTACTTGAGTATTTAAATATATCATGTATTATTTTAATTTTAATTAATATTAAATTTTACATAATTTATGTAAAAATATATTAAAATTTTACATCAACATTTAACTAAATGTTTATATTATGGAAATTAACTTTGGTTCATACGTGACGCATTCACTGGGAGATTTCTTGTATTTTTCAATCGACAAGGTTTACATTCTAAATAGGTGAATCACCGACGGCCAACAAAACTACTTTATTTTCATTAATATTGTTAAATATGTGTTTATGAATCATGTAGAACAAAGAATACCCTTTGTTAAAAATCGTAAGCAAAAGAACAGTTGGGTTATTATTTTCCTAGACATTGAGCCAGGGAGTTATGGAAAAGAGAATAATGAAATGAAGTGAAGCTTAACATGTCCTTGAAAAACATAGTTGTTATGTTCCAAGATAGTGAACATAAGAATCGATTATATTTCGAAGTCATATAGAGCCAACCTTGCAAAAAGAATGATCATACATGAAAAAGGAAAAGAAAAAGAATCCATAGCTACCATTTAAAAGATGATGTTAAGTTGCAGACGATGTTCGAGCCCTTATATGTCCAACCATGGAAACCTAAAGAGCCTCCTCTTTATATGCTCTCCTCGCCAACTCCTCCATTCTTGCTTTCTTCTTAACTTTAACAAACATCGCCACTAAAAGCAACCCCAAAAGGAAAGCCCCCAAAGCAGCTCCCACCGAGCATGAGCATCCCACCACCAGTTTCCATTGCATCTTCTTCCTCACAGCCAACGACTGCGGCGACTTCACCACCAAACCAAACTGGCCATGCCTGCTTGCCACACAAACGTTGGATGATACTTGGTTCTTCAATGTTAATTTTCCATTTCCTTCAAAACTAGCACACAATGGCAATAATCCTGTGATGTTGGATGCCTTTGTAACATTGCTGAAATCGATTTTAATAGGTTTGTCAATGGCAAGAATCCCAAGCTCGAAAGGGCTACCAAAACTCAGATCACTGTCGGCATTATAAACGAGGAGGCCTAATATTGGTGACACCAGCTGGTAACCTGATAGATCATAGTTAGCATAATATATGGATGACCAATTATAACCCAAGTTTTGTCTAACTACCATCACTCTCTCCGCATAAGACTGAACAATCACACCACTTCCAAGATGAAATTCCTTAACCTGTGCACCATATCTGTGGAGACTCCCACATCTGAACCTTACCGTATCGACATTCATGATAAACTATTTATATTCATCTCAAGAACTTGCGAACAACAAACTATTTATATTCATCTCAAGAACTTTCGAACAACTCAAAAAATAATATATCTAAATTTTTTAATTTTTAAAAATTAAATTATTTATAATATTATCATTTCTATTTTTTTTAAAATATAATATAAAATTTTCATCTTCCAACCAATTCAATACGACTAAGAAAACCATATCCAACGATAGATAAAGAAAATAGGACAACCAAAAAGAAAAACAGTGTATGAAATTGCTCTACTAATATCCATTTAAAGAAACTCACAACAAAATCCATTACACTAAATTTCGAGTTTCAAAGCAGCAAAATGGCATGAAACACGATAAACCAAAGATCAAATCTTGCTTTCATCACCTGCTAATCGGATGATAAACTTAAAGCAACCCTATTTTCACAGGTCTTGGACACTCAAACCTGTAAACACGAGACAAACACGAAACACAGTCAAGAACAATAATTTGTTTCTGCTATTTATCTAGTGTTGGAACAGTTCATTTGTTCATTACAACTGCTGGTTCGATCGGAAAAAATAAATAAGAGGGTCCAGAAACGGTATGGTTTTACCTGGAGGAAGAGACTGCTTCAACTTATCGGCCTTCTCGGCATCGGACACACAAAGTGTGTACAAATGCTTTGAGCAGCGAACTTTGAACTTGACAACATCTCTGCTCTTCTTGATTTTTACCGAGCGAGCATCTTTCCTTCTGGCAGTGAGAAGGAAATCCTTGATCTCATGAATTTGCTTAGGCTGCACATGAAAAAACAAAATCATTTAACAAAGAAGCATATACAATAAGCCAAAAATAACCTATCTTACTCGAACACAGATACAATGCCCGATACAGGATAAAGAAGCATATACAAGGTTCACACACTTCATTTCCACCAACAAGTCTAATGGCTATTAAAAGGTTCTTTCTCATCATTTAGACGACGTTGCAAACAAGATTTTCATTTATTCATTGCATAAGATACATCTTATCTTATCCTGAAGGTATGTTTTGTAACAATGCCTGAAAGTATATAAATGCAAATACTCTACATCCGAAGGTGAACAAGACACAAGTTGAAGAGTTCATAGAATAAGAAACCCGTAAGGCAAAAACTTGAAGACGAGAACACTAAAACCTTTAATGGCAGACAAGAATTCATGTTAAATACACAAACTGATGCAATGTTTAAAGTTTCTTACAAATTCATTATCCTAAATATTTAGAACCTCAAAATAACATAAACTCTTATTACAAAGAAAATCATCTTGTGTTAACTTGCAAATGTACAGAAAAGCACTTAAATAAAAACCTGAGCTAAATAGTGACCGTATGCTTTGTGAATGAAAAAGATTTGGAAAAGAATTCATCCAAAAACATTGAAATAATTACAATCAAGAAAATCCATCAACTGAAAGTGATAGTAATCACAGTTCTGCAACCCTCAGTTGTCTCTATAAACAAAAATTCAGAATAAATTTTGAAAAATCTAATAAAAGGAAGCCAAAAATAGAACAATTTGAAAACAAGAACAAAGATCTGAAGCATGAATCATCATAGAAAATACAAAAATGACATTGAGAACATCGAAACAATAGTGCATTCAGAGATCTAAGGACATAATTGAAGATACAATTTTGGGTTTTACCATTTTCGATTGAAGTTTGTAGAGAGCTTCTTGACTGTAGGGAAGTAGGGGCCAAAAAGCTAAAGTTGTTCCTTGTGTTAATACTTATGTCACCAAATGAGGCATTACTAATTTTTTACTTGAGTTTTTACACTTTCTAATTTCAAGCTAAACAAAATTAATTATATGGCATTGTTAGAAAGCAACACAGATCCTACTCCAACTCACAACCTACATTTACTAAACGCAACCACCACAGTTGGAATGTCTAAAAATGTATAATAAGCAAACACCTAACCGAATCCAATTTCCCATAATTTCACATACATGTGGCTCTCGGTGGCCTTAAATTGCCTCAACTCATTTTTCATATCAATATGAAAGCATTCAAAACTACGGGAACCAATATTAAACGAGGAAAATCAAAATGATATCAAACAGTTGGCGATGATGGAGTGAACAAAGAAAAAGTTAAAAAGGAATGAAAGACTAACCGAAAAAAGAGTGAAGAATATGCAGAAACAGCAGAACCTGATAAATTCCAGATCAGAAACAGCACGAAATTCACATGAATGCAAAGTCATCAAATTATAGGAGACGAAAGGATATTCCAAATAAGACCCATCATCCCAAAAAGAAAAGAAATACTAACCCTTTTTTTCTTACAGTGTCAAATAACCAATTCTTAGTGAAAGACAAGGCATATAAAAAGAGAAAAGCAGGGAGATTGAATGAAAAAGGGACCTTGAATCCTAAGCAAGAAAAAAAAGTCGGGTTGGGAAATTAAGCCAATCCTATTTTTCTGAACCCAAACTCCATCTTCTGTTTCCCAAGGTAAAGTTTGTCTCATTGCTGGAAAAATAAATGAAAGGGAGTGGAGAAGAAATCTTACCAGGAGAAGAATTTTTGGCAGAGGCAAGCGTAGGGGGAAAAGAAGATATCGCGCACAGGCAAGCTCAATGGAAAAGAAGGGTATTTTAACCCTTAGCACGGGAATAAAATAATACCTAACACATACTTGGGAATAACATTCCCAGGAATAAAACATCAAAATTTACTGTTGGTAAGAGAATATTACCCTCACTTAGGAATCTCACCCAACCAAACATGGGTATCCTTACTCAGGAAAAAAATATGCCCGCTGGGAATATAAAAATCCTTGATCCAAACGCACCCTAAGATCGTAAAAGTCTAGCCCTCCATGGGATTTGGGTTTGCAAAGCTGTTCCCATTTAATCTAGTGTATTATCTAAGGATCCCCGAATGAAATTGGCAATTTTTTTATTAAGTATATCGGCCACCGCACCTGGCATTCGAAATAGGGACAAGAAGTAAACCGCGAGGCTTGCCAACACCGACTTTACCAGGGTGACACATCCCTCAAGAAATAGTAACTTGCTTTTCAATCCCTCAAGGCGAAAGTTGAATTTTTCAATGATTGGTTTTCATAGAGTTGTTGAATTGCGTGAACAGCCTAACGGAAAACCTAAATAAGTGGGATTGTCTCCGGAAAGGTAGGTTAATATACGGTGTTACTGGATACATTATAATATATTTATAATATTCGGTTTAGCGCTATCGGAAATGTTAAGTAATAATAATATAGTAGGTCTAAATCATGAAGAAATATTAAAAAATTTGGCAACCGGTAAACTTAGCTTGTCGGTTTGTGTCGATACAAATGAAAAATGGATCGTTCCATAGCAATATTACAGGAACAAATATGACAAAATCGGTCACAAAATGACAAAACCGGTAAAACGCTACCGGATATGTGTCGAGTGTCAATAATTTAATATAAGTATCGAAATTTTCTGAATTTAAAAGAGAAGTTATAGCGCCTATAAAGTGTCGATATTTTTAAAAAATATATCGATCCACAACAATATAACAGGCAAAAATATGATAAAACTGGTCTAAAAAATGACAAAACATGAAAAAGTTACCGGATATATTGAAAGTGTCGATAATTTAATATTAGTATCGACACTTTCTGAATTTAAAAGAGAAGAAGTTATAGCGCCTAAAAAGTGTCGACACTTTATGAAAATGTATCGATCCTTACCAATATAACAGGTAAAAATATGATAAACAGGTCTCAAAAATGACAAAACCGAAAAAAGTTATCGGATATGTTAAAAGTGTCGATAATTTAATATAAGTATCGACACTTTCTGAATTTAAAAGAGAAAAAGTTATTGCGCTTAAAAAGTGTTGACACTTTATGAAAATGTATCGATCCATAACAATATAACATATAAAAATATGATAAAACATGTCTCAAAATTGACAAAACCAGTAAAATGCTACCGGATATATTGAAAGTGTCGATAATTTGATATAAGTATCGAAACTTTCTGAATTTAAAAGAGAAGAAGTTATAGCGCCTATAAAGTGTCGATACTTTAAAAAAAATATCGATCCACAACAATATAACAGGTAAAAATATGATAAAACATGTCCTAAAATTGACAAAACCAGTAAAACGATACCGGATATGTTGAAAGTGTTGATAATTTAATATAAGTATCGACATTTTCTGAAATTAAACTAAAAAGTGTCGACATTTTATGAAAATGTATCGATCCATAACAATATAATAGGTAAAAATATGATAAAATTGGTCTAAAAAAAAGACAAAACCGAAAAAAGTTACCGAATATATTGAAAGTGTCGATAATTTAATATTAGTATCGACACTTTCTGAATTTAAAAGAGAAGAAGTTATAGAGCTTAAAAAGTGTCAACACTTTATTAAAATGTATCGATCCTTACCAATATAACAGGTAAAAATATGATAAAATAGGTCTCAAAAATGACAAAACCAGAAAATATTACCGAATATGTTGAAAGTGTCGATAATGTTTCTGAATTTAAAAGAGAAGAAGTTATAGCGCTTAAAAAGTATCGATACTTTATGAAAATGTATCGATCCAGAACAATATTACAGGTAAAAATATGATAAAACCGGTCTCAAAATGACAAAACCGGTAAATAGATACCGGATATGTTGAAAGTGTCGATACTTTAATAAGTACGCGTAATAAATTATCGATACTTTCAAAGAAATAGGTAAATATCCTATCGAAAGTATCGACACTTGACATAAAAGTATCGACACTTATGTAGTTGTATCGATTAAATATAAATAACATATCCTGTGTAGATATAAAGGCATAGCTATCCTCTGAAAATAGATAGAGTTTTTGAAATCGAAGCGTAATTGTTGTTGCATTTCAGAAGGCGTTTCTACGTGAAGTTTTGTTTGTTTGTTGCTGCAGTCGAATCGAAAGGTACGTTATTGAAACCCTAGTTTTTTATTATTACAGTAATGGGAAATAGGGTTTTT